CTGACCCAGTGCTAACCCTTTTAAATACATTATACCTTTAATTCTCACAACTCCATGAAATAGTTATTATCTCTGTTTTTTTGTTAATGAAACCAAAGCTCAGAGCTGAAATGACATATCAGTCAAACTCGGGCTCGTGACATTTCATGGAAATCCACACCCAGGACTAAAACGAGGGCAGGGCTGGAACCCACCCAGATGTGGGCCCTGGGAGCCTGGCGGGGGCCTTGCAGCCGGAGGGCCTCACCGACAGTGAGGAGGAGGAGGCAGCAGGGTCCGTCCTCAGCTCTTTGGCTGTTACACTGTTTGTTCAAAAGCTGAAGTTAGGGCTTAGATATGCCTCATTGTTGCTCAAAAAGATCCTTCTTCTTTCCACAGACACAGGATGTTAATTCCTTCCAGTTTTTGGAATTCCACCTCTCTTGGTACATTTTGCATCTAGAAAAAGGGAGGCTGCTGCATTTCCCTTTGCAGTCTGAATGGAGCCGACCTTTGCTCAGTGTCTGTCATCCAGGAGGCATTCTTATAGACTTATCTTCATTTAGACCACCCCCCCGCCAAATCACCCGTTACTGCTCTGTTATAGCCGGGATTACTGAGGTTTCGAGAGTAACTATCCCAAAGTAGGTGGCGGACCTGGGATTCAAACCCACTTCCATAGAGAATCAAGTCTAGAGTTCATTTTCCATGTTGATGTTTTTCAAAATATGCAGGACAGTCCTTCAGTGGATTGTGAAATCCACCAATTTTTTTAAAGAAGATGGGAGATAATAGGAAATATCAGAGAGTGCTGTATGTTGAAAAGGCAAGCATCCTTTCATGAGTTGTAGTTTGTGTTCTGTGTTGGTTGCGTGTGTGTGCAAAAGCACATGTGTGCACGCGTTAGGTCCCTAAGAGTGAGAGGTATTTGGGTTGTGTTCAGTCAATGAAGTTTGAAAGCCCTTGGTCTACAGCATCCTGTGTGAGGAGTGGACAGAGCAGGGAACCAGAGACTAAAACCCAAAGGTTCCAACAGACAACAGAACCAGGTCTATCGCGGGTGTGAATGGAAACAGACAAGACTCCTTAAAAGCAGGAGTCCCAGAGCCAGGACTTGGGGAGACACAGTTGCGTTTTCTATCGAAATCCCAAGCTCTCTTTAGAAAACATTAAGATTGTCTTGCAAGTTTTCTTGTTGTGGAGTTTGGGACAAAAACTTACTTCTCTTTATCCAACAAATGTTTCTCTGAAAAAGGATGTGTGACTCGAATTTTAGATAAATGTTTCAAAATGTTTTCAATATCCACATTATTAATGTGAGGCTCAGTGCTTTAGAAAGTAAAGAATCCTTTGGAAACATACTTAACTCATCTTTCTTGAAATTGGAGATGTTGTGTATTGTCCCTCTTATCATGGGAAATGCAGGTGCTGTGATTCAGCAGAATCGTGTGAAGGGTGTTCCCTGGGGACCAGTGGACACACATCACTCTCACACTAAGCTTCCTCATCCAGTGACCCAGAATCAAGTTACAAAAGGAAATAAACTTAAACTTATATAATATTTTATTGTATCTTCCTTATAAGCAACTTTCTTCACCTTTAGAATAAGAGGTTTCTTGAGCCTAATTAAGACTAGGGGCAAGTTGATCATAAACTTCCGGATCCAAAGAAAATGAGAACAGGAGAGACTGGATGATTTGCCATCAGTCACACACGTGTGTTCCTGATGCACGCTCAATACCCAGCAAGCGTGCAACCTCACTGCTTCCAATATCTTATCGTCAAGGGGAGGAAACTGAAGTTCAAAGGGATAAAGCTGCTTCCTTACACACACGTTTTGTGAGCCTTGAGTTATTCGATGAAGGCATCTTGGGACATCGG